TGTGTTTTTTGTATCTTCGATGATGAAACTAAATAATTAGAGTTCTATCTACAATGTAACAAGGGGAAAGGATAAAAGTCAAATATTCTAGAGTGCAACACCACAGAGCAGTCACAGTAGCAATAGCTGGAGTATCAAACACTATCCATCGCATATATATCGCAAAGTATCTAGAATTCTAAATTCATCGAACCCCCTTATTGGGTGTAAGGTGGACCCAAATCATTATGCTCACTAACAGCCACCAAAAATGAGTTATATTGGCAAGCATAAATTGGCACTAGAATTTGCTTTTGGGTGTAAGGTGGTTCGTCCCACATTTTTAGATTGTTTAATCAGACTTAGTTTGTTAATAGTGGCATGCACTGCTACTCCTTTAAAAATCATAATCATCACTTTATAAATAAAACGCCTTGGCATCTCTTTTCCTTTCCAAAGTTCCTTACTACATTTCAGGACGTAGACCACTATTTTCCCATGCTTTAAATTAAATTAGCCAACATGCAAAGGACAAAGACAAATATCTGAGGACAGATGCCTCTAAAAAGTAGATAGTAACATCACTAGTGATCTAGTGCTGATCTAGACTATCTTTTTAGGAATATAACTCTACTAGAATGCCACTGAGAAGAGACAAATTATACAACATCCAATTAGATAAAATACAAGCTACATGGATCTATTTTAACAGTAGCACTAAACAATCATCAGCACTTCAATATAACAGTCTGTAAAGCACATAATTCTGCACGAGATGAAGGGCACCAGCAGCAATAGTAAGAACCATGTCTTTAATGAGGGGAAAAGAAAAAAGAATAGAAGGATCATTAAATAACGGGGAAATTAGTCCGGAACAACAAAAACTTGTAGATCATTGAATATGAAAGAATAGTAGAGCACATGGTCATAATAAAAGCCTAGGGAGGTAATGAGAAATCAATTATAGCAAAATATAAACCAAAATATAAAACCATGAGGTGATGCGAAATACCAAGAAGTTGTAATAAAAGCTTAAGTCAGCATAGCAATAATTACAACTTATCAAGGAAGACGAACAGAGCAAAATTACAAGTCCACAAACAAAACCAAAAATCCTGCGTGATATATTAGTAAAGAAGTGAAGCAACACCGGCGAAAAACTTTACAGGTTGTGAATTGGAAAATATGTCGAATTGCAAAGCAAACAAAAGTCAAATCGTACAACCAAAGACTAAATCTTTACCATATGTTCATTAATACTACCTTTGATAAAATGAGCAATTTTATCAAAATCCAGCAGTGCACCTTTCAATACCATCGGAAAAAAGGATCTTTTCCGACAAACAGGTACACCATACAAAGTTCAATAGAGAAAAAAGCTCTTCCTAGTGCATTTCCATATTCAGTGTATTAAGACAAACTTTTATCTGATTTGATTATTTGAGTTGATCTCTTTCAGAGGAAAGAATCAAAACAGTCGACTAGCATGCATGGACTTCGATAACTATGAACTGAAGATCAAACCCTAAAAAAACTAATGATGAAAGTACTCCAGATTTTTGACAAAAACTCCACTATGCTTTACCATCACCATTTTACCAGCTAAAATTTTAAAATTGTCAACACCGACTTGATCTAAGACACATTCTTCATTAAACATGGCCTTTTTTCCAACACTACCAAACAATGTTGTTTTTCAGTCCTTCCCTTCAGTTCCTTGATTCTAGTCTCTGTCATTATTATTACAAATCTTATATTATTTAAATAAAATTGACTCTGGACTAAACATTACTTTCCAGTTGCCTAACATTTTACACTTAACGTCACATGATTCTTCATTAGGTAATATAATTCTCCTTTCAATTTCAATGAGTACATCAATTTAAATAGTAGGCGAATGTACTCTGCCACTTGGCCAACCTATATTCCAGTGCATATATGTTGAGTTATTTCTGCATCTTTGTCAATAATTCTGCCAAATATCTAATTAATTGTTTCGGGGGTATTTCTCGACTCCCAAATAATATACTTTATTTATTCAAATTCTTTTGCATCTAGCACGTCTTTCAGTTAAATCTTCTTTGGATACAACATCAAAGTTGAAATATGAATAAGACAAGATGACTAATGCCAATGATAAGAAACAGTGGTTTCTCTTTATTAAAGAAAAAAGGATAGTGATGTCTCTTATCAAATATAAAGGAAAGAACAAAAGAACAGTTCAATAAATTGGATGACGACTTCACCCCAATAGTTTATCGACCTATTCTTCATTGTCACACTCATATTTTAAGTCAATAACCAACACATCATCATCCCCACAACTACAACCTACCCATTAGTATCAAACAGACACAATATCCAACAAAATGGAACTTACAGCTATATAAATAGAGCTAATACCTACCCAATACCTATTTCATCACTAATTATCTATTATCAAATATCACTTACTTGAGGACCAATCAAAGAGTCCAAGAAATGCAAGATCATACATAGCAATATACCAGTATAACCAACTGAGATCTCCAAAAATTACTAAAACAAACAACTCTACCAATAATAACAAGAATGCAATCAACTTCCAGAACAAATGCAATCTTCGAACTCACAGAAAGTGGAGTCGCACAAAGACACATTTTCTGTCTGGAAAACCAAATGTGTATCTCTAAAAGTTAAAGAAAAAGAATAATTTCACCAAGAAAGAGAGCAATCAACTTCAAACACGGACTTCATACATCAGTAAACCAAATGGGTATCATTAAATATTGAAGAAAACAATAATTTAATCAAAAAAGCGAGAGCAATCAACTTCAAAAAAAAAACACTGCGAAAACTCACTTCGTACATCAGGAAACCAAATGGGTATCACTTAAAATTGAAGAAACCAATAATTTTATCAAGAAAGCGAGAGCAATCAACTTCAAAAAAGCGAAAACTCACTTCATACATCAAGGAACCAAATGGGTATCACTAAAAATTGAAGAAAACAATAATTTCATCAAGAAAGCGAGAGCATCAACTTCAAAAAAACACTGCGAAACTCACTTCATACATCAGAAAACCAAATGGGTATCACTAAAAATTGAAGAAAACAATAAATTTCATCACGAAAACAAGCAATCAACTTCAAACACAAACGAAACACGAAGTAACCAAATGGGTATCAATAAAAAGTGTTGAAACAAATTACCATCTCCTTTGGTACGTGAGGATCCAACGCAACCCATTTTAACAGAGTTGCACGAAAATTGAGTATTGAAGAACACCAGTTGCCGATCTCGGGAATCAATTTCCCAGTCAATTATTGACAACTGAACAAAATGTTAGATGGAGAGCGTTTAATATGCAAAAAGGGAAAATTTAGTGCTTCTTTAGAGGGAGTATTATTGCGTGCTCACAACTCTCCCAATGACAGCTATATATATACTACTACTTTTTTTTTTCTACCGATTTTGGGCAAAATTAGAAACTTCCTTTTTCTAGTTCTACAGAGGAGGAAGAAGAAGAAACCAAAAGCAAGTCCACCGTCATTCAATTATTTATTTTTTATATTTTATTTAACTAAATCACATTAAAAATAATCATTATTTACAAAATCGAAATTATACAAACTAAATGTAATTTCATCTCCAATTCAAATTACAACAATCTCATATAAAAGTGAAATTCTTTTATAAATACGATTGTATTTAAAATATTCAAACCACTTCTATAGTTTAACAATGTTAGTCACAATCAAGATCTATAAACGTGTTTTTGGATTGGAAAAAAAATAGTTTATAAAGAATTTTTTTTGTGCATATAAATAAAAAAATTAAAGATAATAATAATAAGAATAAATTAAAAAAAAGTAAATCTTAGCAGTATAAAATAATAATGAAATGATGTTTTTTATAGCTATCAGTAAAAAATAGACTTTAAAATTTTTTTAAAATTTTTTTTATAGTGCAAAATAACTGTAAGTATCTTTTAATTATGAATTTATGACTAAGACAATTGATTACGTAAAAATCAATGTAGTGATATTAAAATAAGACAAAATATCATGCATATGGGTGGGAACTTTCACCTTTTTGGAGGCTTGTTACATTCGTATTGTATTGTGTTTTATTGGTGATTTAAATATAATCACTAGTTTAATTAGTATTAAAATTAAGGAACTTATAAAAATACAGACGAGCGGGACTGAAAGAGAGAGGGGAAAAGAGTAGGAGAAAGGTGAATTGTATATTCATATTGGTTAGATAAATATATGTTATACATATGTAATTGTATATATGGCGAGAGAGATCGGAAAAGGGAGGAGAGAGGTGAGCGAGAGAGTGCAGAGTGTGAGAGAGAGGTAAATTGTATATGTATAAAAGTATATAACTGTATATTATACATATACATTTATATAAATAACAACCTAGTTTAGGAGAGGGAGGAGAGAGGCGAGCGAGATTGAGAGAGGGAGGAGAGAGGCGAGTGAGAGAGGGCAGGGAGAGAGGTGAATTGTATGTGTATGTAGGCTAAAAAATACTATATTATACATATTTATTTGTATATCTTGGTGAATTATGCATATACAAACATGACTAATTATACAAACTCGAAGTCAGCCCACGTAATTAATGTAATTATAACAAACTATAGCTATAATAAGTAATTAAATAATATAAATTTATTTATCCGCATAATTTTTTCATTAAAATTTTATTGTATCAGATTATTCAACTTCATTATTAAATAATAATGAAAAAGATCATATTATACAACAATTGATTCAATGTGATTGTATAGTTATTTAAATATTTTTTCGCATTAAAATAGTATAATATATTTCTAACTATACATCATAAACAATACATAATAGTCATCTAAACAATAGTTATTCTTATCTTAACAATAGTTTATTTTTTTATAGCTTAATTTCATAAATAAACATGTTTTTTTTTCACTTTGGCAATAATATATATATAACTTTGAATATGTATATAAAACATTAAATATAGAGCTTCACATAAAAACACTTTTATAATTCGACAACAAATCAATAACTTAAATTAAGAGTTCTCCAACCCTAATGGAAACTGAAATTGTTTTTATTTGAAAATTTTCTAATTTTGTTTGTAATCCAAATGTGTACTTGCAGTGCCTCCAGTTGCAGCTAGCCGCAAAATCCATCGTCTCTTCTTTCAAAGTGGTGCTTCTCTTTCTCTTTCTCTACTTTTTTTTCTTCAAAGCTCAAAGAAATTTTATTTACATTCAAAATGCTGGCTTCTAAAGGAACAACTTTCTCAGATTGTAGCGTAATGAGGACTTTATTCTCTCCCTGCAAAGTATGTAATAGAACACTCTTACATGTTTAGAATTCTTTATAAACTCTCTTCATTTCCTTGTTTTGACTCGAAAATGTTGTTGTGTGAGAAGGTATCATTTGCAGCGAACCCATGTAATTTGCCCTTTTTGCTTAAACTTTATATGTGGTTCTGGTTCTGGGGCATTTTTTAGAATTAATGAAAAGGTTACAAGGTGTTTGACACACTAGTGCGAGAGTATCTTATGGGGAAAAAAAATAATCCAAGGGTGAAAGAATTCTGCATTTTATCTCGGGACCTTATATCTCACGCCAAACGACTCCGAAATGTGCTACCTTTCATTTTCTGGTCCAGAGTAGTGCATAAGAAGTTTATGAACTGATCAACTCTATAAAGGAATCAGTACCTTTGATTTTCTGGCTATTCTAAATTTGACTTGAAAAATCAGACCTCTTTAATCATATCATATTGTTTTGGTTATCCAGATTTCACATATACCAGTTGTTAGCTTTGGACACAAAAGATCGTTAAAAATCTACAGTGCGAAAATGGAGCTCTCAATCACACAACCTGATGATTGGCATCTTCATCTCCGTGATGGTGATGTTCTTAAGGCAGTTGTCTCTCACAGGTTTCTAGTTTTAAATACTTCAGCTGATTGTGATTCAGTTTATACTTTATATTCCACTTTGTTAAATTCGGTTTCTTTATCTTGATTTTGACTTGTTCATTTTTGCATTATTTGATAAAGTGCACATCACTTTGGGAGGGCAATAGTCATGCCAAATTTGAAGCCTCCTATCACTACCACTGCTGCTGCTGTAGCATACCGGGAGGCGATATTGAAATCTTTACCTGCTGATAGTGATTTCAACCCTCTTATGACACTTTATTTGACAGATACAACCAGTCCTATGGAAATCAAACTAGCAAGTAAGTCCAATGCACTTTTGATGCATTAAAAATATATTAGATGTTATTCTTCTATATTATGACTGCTTTAATGGTGCGTGTATGATATTCTTCTATCAGAGAGCATGCATGTATTTCAGGAAACAAAAATTAATTTCAGTGAATGATAATGGTTGTATTTAAGCATCAATAAGATCATGACAGAAAAGGCACCAGTAGAAAGCCAATTTGTGAAACTTAGAAGTAGAGTTGAACTTTGAGAGACATTGTAATTCTTTGTTAAATCTCAATTCCCAATTTGTTCTCAAGACATTAAAACTGAAGGCTAGATTCTTGGCTATGCCAACCTTTTTTTTGGTCCTTTTATTATGTCTATTTTCGTGTCAGATCATAATCCTTGAAATTTGAAGTTAGTATTACGAGCTTTTTGTCTTTTATAAAGTCAGGGTCTACTCTCCTGTGTGGAAATTTAAACATGTCAAAATTTGCAGCATTTAAGTTTAACTGATTGTGTATTGTCATCTGGGTGCAGTTTTCTCCAATGTGAATGGCTCATGTTCCTATTTTTCTTACCATGAAAGCATTTAAGAATCATCCTTTTTTCCTTTTTCTTTTGTTGTTTTATCTATTTTTGTCCACTATTTCTGATAAAATGAGACAGGAGAGAGCCAGGTCGTATTTGGGGTGAAGTTGTACCCTGCTGGTGCCACGACAAATTCTCAAGATGGAGTGACTGATCTTTTTGGGAAGTGTTTACCAGTTCTACAAGAAATGGTTGAGCATAATATGCCTTTGCTGGTAATTTGATGCTAAACTTGGTGCTAAGCTTTCTTCCTGTTCCACTAGAACATTGCATAATGTGCATGCTAACCTTACCACCAAAAAATTGCTTTTTATCACTGTAGAAAGATGCAGATTCAAAGTTGTACCTTGTATCTGTTGAAGCTATACATGATTAATGTTATTTCTTGCCTACGCTATAGCTTTTCTAGTTTCAGTTTATCTTGGATTGCTATAAAATAGATTCAGCGTTTAACTGTAATGACTCAACTTTAATCATGTTTTTTCTTCCCCCAATTGCTCTGTCAAAGCTTGTGATTTTTGTCACTTCCCTTGAAAAAATTTCATTTTATAGGATTTTTATGTATTACATTTGACTGCAGGTTCATGGAGAGGTTACTAATCCTGAGGTTGACATGTTTGATAGAGAAAAGGTATTCATTGAAACGGTTCTAAGACCTTTGGTGCAGAAATTTCCACGATTGAAGGTCGTGATGGAGCATGTCACCACCATGGATGCTGTTAAGTTTGTTGAATCTTGCAGTGAAGGTAATCTTTTCAACTTTATCCACCTTTTTGAACTTAAAGTCTTCTTGTCAGATGAAAGAACTTCATTGACCTTCCTTTTTCAAATGCTAATTTAACCTTTCTATCATTCTTTAAAGGATTTGTTGCAGCGACTGTCACCCCACAACATCTTGTTTTAAACAGGAATTCTCTCTTCCAAGGGGGCTTACAACCGCATAATTACTGCCTTCCAGTCCTCAAAAGAGAGATCCACAGTAATATTCTTTATCCTTTCATATTGATGCTCCGATTCTCTTCTATCGCTTGGTGTTTGTCTATCGGTTGCAAGAACAATAATGAAGTAACATTACTTTTAATTTTGAAAAACCGACTAGGATTCTTTGGTTAACCACCTGTAGTGACTACAAGGGCATGTAGACCTTGTTTGGTTCTACAAAGGGGACAAGAACTTCATTTTTCTCATGCATAATGTATTTACCATTAACCTCCACTTGTTTGGTTCAACTCAAGTAAAGTGGAAGAGGTTGATTTCCTTATTTCCAATCTTAGATGGTTTTGAAAAGTTGAGGAATTGCATACTTACACTTGCATTTTAACAAACAAGGTTAATTATATTCCTTCCAGTGTGATAGGTAACTTGAGCAAATTAAGTCTACACTGCTAGCATTGTATGCTTCTATTTCATACATGAACCTGAATAGAATTACATTCAGTATCCTAATCAACATAAGCTGGACAATATACTAACTCTATCAACAAAAGGAAACCATATCGAGTTCAAGGCCAGATGCTTAGTTCTACTTTTTTGTTGGGAAGTTTATTTTTGTCCATTCTTGGAGCTGACTCTTCCTACTTTTGTAATTATGCATCTGCTAGATGCTTTGTTTATCAATACACCATTTATTTCATCAAAAATAAAATAAAATATCAAGTTGAAGCAACAAGCTTTACATTCTAGTATGCAGGGATCCCGATGGGTTTGTTGATGTTACAGTTCTTACCTTCTCCAGCAAGCCTTTTATTGCACTCTCCAACTCTAATTTCTCCTCAGTAGTAATCTTACCGTAGCATTTTTTCCATGATTGATTTCATCCCCTTCAGCTTCTGCTTGATTAGTTGTACCTGTGACTTCCCCTTACCTGCTTTCAGCAAGGAGAGTGGAGTGACAGAGTTGAAGGGATAAGAGCTTAAAGTTAAATTTACAGCACCAAAAGGACTTTGATGTACTTATTCTCTGAAGGCATTTTCAGCATCTGAACAGTGCTTGAATCAGATTACACTTAAATGTTGCCATCCTCTGGGATTATGATGGCAGACTTTTTGTCACCCAGCCAATCCTCACAGAACGACTTCAACATTGAAATTTTGCAACTTTTTAAGTATACACTTCAATCTTCCTACCCCATCTTCTACACAAATTACCTACCCCGTGTGAAGCCTGTTGAAGAATTTCGCATTCCTTTCGCAGATTCTCCTCATCAATATTGAGTCTGCTAGTGATTGACTGCTTTACTCTACTATCGTGAACCATCTATCTTCATTGTTGCTAATATCATATAACTCGAATGACTCATCTCCTGAAACAAAAAAAGTTCTCTTCTTCATAAGGAGTGAAAGAAACAAAAGAGAAATTGCACATTTTTCAAGAGAGAGCACTGTTTTAATATAAGTTCTTAATCAAACTTTTCAGCAGAATGGTGTTGCATGATTTAACTGTAAATAGACATCTTTCTTGCTCCTCCAATAAATGTTGTCCTTCTTGTCTGTGCGTAAGGAGTAAGTCCCAAGATAAAGAGACTGCAGTTTCTATTAACTACCCAACCATTGCAATGCCTTCTAAAGATGATGTTCAAGCCATTTTTGAGTAATAATCTGTTACGCATTCTGATTGGCTGCCAGAGTGGATACACACTTGAGAGGGGTACGGCCATTCCAAAAAGCTGATTTTCTGCCATTTCCCAACTTGAAAGATGTTGTTTCCTAGGAATTCGTCTAAAGAAAGTCCAGATGCTTTTCCCGACAGAGAAACCATACAAGAGCTAGTAAGCTTTGTTATCCACAGGTGTTGCATACCATATTTGGTCTCGATGACTTACTCCGTTTTGCATTCTCACCTTTTGTGAATCTCCATGACCATTTGTTTAAGAGGCTATCATTGTGTGCTTTCAGATTCCGTACTCCCAGGCCTCCAGATTTTTATCTTTTTGGACAGCTTCCCACTTAGCATGATTAAAAGCTTTCTTGTCCCTGTTTTCATTTCAGATTCGACGAATCTTATCAATTTCTTGGCCAGATATGTAGGAATAAGGAATAAAGAGATTGTGTAAGTGGGAAGTGAGTCCAAAACACTATTTGTGAAAACTAATCTGCCTTTGCTTATATTTCGTTAAATCAAATCTAAAAGCCTATAATCTTTTCGGAATATGGCATTTTGATTTTGTTGTATGGATTACTGTCATAACAAAGAAGAAATGAATTAAACAGCTATTGAGCCATCTACCCTGAATTTTGAAAGTTGGGTAGAAGCTATATTTGCCTGTAATTGACCCTCTTTTTGTGTGGAATAATTTGTTGAAAGTTTGTTCTTCTACCTGATATTTTCTTACCTCTTTGTAAGAGTTATGACTACCCTGAAATTTTGAAAGTTAGGTAAAAACTGTAGAGCTATATTTGCCTGTAATTGACCCTCTTTTTGTGTAGAATAATTTGTTGAAAGTTTCTTCTTTACCTGATTTCTTTTACCTCTGTGTAAGAGATGAAAGTTTTAGTCTTACTGATGCTAATGTGTCACGAATCACTACTTGATCAGGCTTTCTTTGATTTGCTAGTTCCATCCATTGCCTTTTATTTTCCTAGACATGTGAACTTGTTGAAAATTTGATGCAAACGGTGCTGTGAATGTGCTAAAAAAAGGAAATGAATGTATGGCATGATTGTCCTTGTTGAAACAAGGTGCTCTTTTTTCTTATAAGAATTTGCCAATTTGGGGAGCATGTTTAATGAGACTTGGAAAAGTACCAAGTGCGTGAGAAAAAACTCATCTTTATTAATATATTCATTATTCGCATAATTACAAGATCTATTGCACTAATCTTGTCCCCTTACTCCTACTACTTTTCTCTTTTCTCTTGTTCACTTGGTATAAATTTTAATCTAAGCAAGATTGCTTTGAATAACACAGGGGAGGCACTTGTGTCAGCTGTAACAAGTGGAAGTAAAAGATTTTTTCTTGGGACTGATAGTGCTCCTCATGATAGACGAAGAAAAGAATGTTCTTGTGGATGTGCTGGTATTTACAATGCTCCTGTAGCCTTATCAGTATATGCAAAGGTGTTTGAAAAGGTAATTGCAATAGATATCTACAGCGCTTCTCATGTTGAACTCATCCATGTTATAATGTTTCTAATTACTTGGGAAAGGTTCATTAGTTTTAGCAGCTATCGCTACAAGTCAATGACTTAGATTTGGTTGTCTGCATTTTAGGAAAATGCACTTGACAAGCTCGAAGCATTTACCAGCTTCAATGGACCAGACTTTTATGGGCTTCCGAGGAACAACTCAAAGATTAAGTTGAGTAAGACACCATGGAAGGTACCCGAATCCTTTTCATATGCATCAGGAGATATAATTCCCATGTTTGCTGGTGAAATGCTCGACTGGTTGCCGGCTCCTCTCTGAGAAAGGAAAAAAAAAAGAGATTCCCATTCTCATTTGTTGTTCTTGTACTGTAATACTGTGATTTAACTAAAGATATAGAGTGCAGGTGTGTCATCTTTCCTTTCATGTTTTAGATATTATCGCGATGATAATTATTGAAACAGTAAGTTTTCTATATGTGACTGAACTAAAGCTTTAGTTCGACCCATTATGATTGATTTTAAATAAAGATGAGGTTTAGTACAACAAGGTCACCAAAGAGCTCCTGTGTTCTGAAGTTCTTAAATTGTTCGTTTGATTTTGAAGATTTACTTTCCTTATCCTTCATTGCTTATTATGACTTACAATTTTCAAACCAAATTGAGTGATGCATTAGTGTCAAAGACACTAGCAACAATGTACCAGAACGCGCAATTGGATATTAAAATTAATCAGCATTTGTTAAGAACGAAAGACAAAGGCGCCTCGAAAAGGAAGAAGATAGCAGACATCTGAGAACACCTTTATATGAACGACGCAAAATAATTGATTAGTCATACCGCTATATCTTTGAAAGTTTGAATCACATTTGACAGGAATGCAGACAACATTTTCAAATTAAACATATTTCTGACATATTAACAAGGGTACTTTATCTGAATCTAACAATGTAAGAGGAGCTCATTGAAATACTTGACCCTCGGCCAAACTCCATGTATGATCTCACATCCAAAAAAAAGTAGTATCCCAAAATCATGTCACAAGCCACGGCATGAAACCAGATTACGGTTAGGTGTTAAAACTGTTCATCATATATCTTCATCGCCTCAGGCTGGCAGTTGAAGCTTAGCATTATTTTTCCAGCTGCAAAACAAATTTGTTAGTAGTTTGTTTACGTCATCCAGAGAGGAGCCACTTCAGGAAGTTTTAACAAATTGTTACCTGATGAAGTAATAATAAAAGAAATCTGCATAAAGGGCTGTCTGGACAAGGCCAGAGACGCAAGCTACAATAAGAAGAGAAAAGCAAAGGGAAATTCAACTTTAAAGAACCATTGCAAGTAATTGCAAACAAACAGTACTGGTTGTACTTCCAAAAACTTACAAATCCATCTAGTGAAACGCTGCTCTGTCAGATAGCGGTAAATCCAGTTTAAGATGTAAAATGCACGGTAGGCCCTGGAATCGCATAGAACCAGCATCTCAGTAACAATACCCAATCAATCATAACTAATTGAAATCAAATTGTAAATATCATCACGCGACATTATTCAACTAGATAGGAACACATGCCGCATATACATAATTTAAGAACTAATTGTTAGATCTCTTTCAGCTCAAAGTATTATAATATGAAATGCCAGAGAAACAAAACTAGAGATGATAAACGTGAGTAGACAGTGAGAGAACGGTACAAGAAAGGGAAGCATTTTCCCTTGTCTTGCAGTGACATATTGAAGTGCTATCACAAAAAAATGTTCCATCGCTCGAGAAAACATTTAAATGGAAGACCCCATCATTTCTGTAGCTTTATGCTGTAGTTCCATTCTGAGATAGTGGCATTCTATTTTGCAAGTGTAACTACTACACAGACATAAATAGCATGATTTAATGGATCTGAATATCTCTTCACTGCAATCAAGCTATAGACAAGATTTGTTTTAAGTCACAGCACGGGCACTCAACTCAGAAAAGGAACCATTCATTGAATTTCCCTTATTATGGAGATGCTCATGGCAAGCAATCACAACAGAGGGAGTGTTAGCTCAAAGCAAACATATAAAGCTAAGACCAAATTTTAAACCAACAAATGTCAATGCGTGATCAGATCCATTTCATCGGGAGAGCACGACAATTATGGCATCAAAGTTATACATGCTGCCAAAAAAAAAAGACATGTCCTCTAGCAGCAATAACACTTGTGTTCGTTCTCTAGAAACGCCCTCAAATGACAGTGTTTTGACTGCCAAAGGAGGCTCACGATTTTAAGTGCCAACAAGTTAAGTATAATAAAAGTACCTCAATCTAATGCCTAATAATAATTGGAAATTCCACAATCTTTGTAAGGAATCAAATTATGACTACCCAAGATCCTTGAAAACTGAAGAATGTCATTAAAACTCAATACATAGTGCAGATTTGTCCGGCAGCAATCACTCTGAAAATTAACCACAATAATGAAAGGGCTGATGTAGATAAGAAACTAATAAAATTCACCAAATAAACCAGCCAACCGAGTTAGCAACGAAGCCTATGAAAAAAGCTATTCATAAGTAAAGCCTTGAAAAATTGTACAGTATGTTGACACCAAAGTCACAAGCAAAACTGACTCTAATAGCAGTTGAATTTTTGTGGAAGAAGGATCATTGAAGTGAAGGATGAATTTTGTATACAGATGTTTGGTGGGCGTGTATTGGGGATGTCATGAAAAAGTTATGCGGTGGCACAGAAACTAAAAGGTTGGAAATTACACATTGAACAGTACAGATAAATGTCAAAGAGAGGAACCACATTCCCTTTCTGTTCTGAGTTCCCCACATAAACCAAAGCACAAAGAATCAAAGCTTGAGTATGGTACTAAAGTTTAGGAATTCTTGGTGGACTTGAGATAATATTAATGTAATACTGTGGCTTTTGAACAGTGAAGACAAATGGGTCTACAGGAAGAGAATTTTCAGAGGGGGTTGTGACAGGCACACCCTCTACGGTTCTTTCTCTTCAGATTGTTCAACTGAGGAATGTTGTATAGAGCTATGTACAAATGTTGGATAACAGGTACAAAGAGGGCACAAAAAGGAATAATACAGTCACTATCTCGGAGTTCCTCTATGCTGACTCAATTTTTTGTTGGAACAAAGGATAGAAGACTAAGATATCTGTGAGTCGCGAGGTATACTTTTGGTTTTGTGGCAGTTTCTGGGCTTCATAAATCTGGCAAAGCGTATCTATTCCTCATTTTTGGAAATATGTTAGGACAGAGAGGAGGAGTTTTTCCAGCAGCATGCATGAGACTTCCCTTTTAGAGGCAAGCTACAAAAATGGAGAGGCAGTTGGACAGAATTAGGAGAGACTTCTGAGGTAACTCAGGAAAGAAAAAGTTCACTTGTGAAATAGACAGCAGTGACTATTGTAATTGGTAAGAAGGAAAGTGGTTTAGCTGAAAAAACCCAAGGCTGGATAATACAAGTCCCTATAATTAACGTTGCGCAGTTAGTAATGAACAAGCAAGTGTTGAAGAATGCCATCAAAGGCAAAGTATGTGTGAATGGCTCTTGTTGCACAAATCCAATATCTCAGCTCATTGTTATGTAGTGGAAACTTATATGTATCTTGTGGGAGCAATTCAATGTCAAAGAGAATGTTAAGGTAGATGAGATGGTAAAAGAAATACAAGATGCTTGGAGGTGTGGGTATTGGTGAACTGATCCAATATCAACTCATGGATTTGCAACATGAATAAATATAAGAAATTTATGGGATGATTTTCTTCCAGGGTGAATCTCAAGGTAGGTGATGGAAAAAGGATAAGAAGGTAGCAAAGATACTACGTTTGGATTCTCAAAAGGAGGTAATCCCATATTGGTAGACCTTTGCCACATTTTGTTGAAGCCACAAAAACTTGATACAAAAATGCACACAAAAGCTTAGATTCAAGAAGAATTGCCAGCACAATAGGTTCTGGAAGAATTGCCATGGACTACGAGATCCGCAGATGAGCTTGGCTCTTTTGAGGTTAGAGAAGGATGGGCCAACTTCCGGATCTAATTCACTGTTTTGAAGCACAGAAGACTTTTCAGTCAAGTAAATTGACAAAGCCAAGCAATAATCACTCACTGGGGCGAGAAAATGCTTAAGAAAAGAAAAAGGCCCTTCAAGAACGGCATGTTTTGTCTTATAGATATGAAAAAAGTCAACCTAACTAGGATAACCTGCAGAATAAGAAATTCATTACTTGCAATAATGTTACACGTGAAAAGGATTCTCAGGACACAAGACATCTTCTTTTGCATTTTACTGTAACATGGAATATCTAGTGTATGTTCCTAAATCTATTTCAAGTTCAATGCTTAAAGGACAGTAACTTGTCGTGGCAGGTTTCTGTTTTTGTGAAAATAGAATACAAGTCATTACCTTCTCAAAAAAAAAAAAAAAGGAAGACAGAAACTAGAAAGATAGTTAAGATGGAATACAGTTCCACCACACATCGTCTGGTTTATGGAAAGAGAGAACCGATGCTTCGGAGGAAGAGTAAATGTACCACATAGTTTCAAGTTTAAATGTTTACAATAATTTGTAAATGATACGATATGTGAACGAACTTCATTAACTCCTTCACAGTTAAAACTGAGACAAGCCTTTTCTAGTTTTACGTAAAATACCAGCACTCTATTGCTATTTGGAAAGCAAATTTGCAATATTTATGAAAAAAATAAATGATGAATTTTCAAATTTCAAATTTCAGCTGTGAGTTATATAGAACTCAGATTTTTTATAAAAAATAGATACGGACAAATCAATACAAATTCTCTACAATTTTCAACATATTATGCAAAACAATGTTCTTTTAGGAAGTCGCCAGATTTACAGGAGATGAAGCATACCCAAGAAAGAACACATATTGTCCAGTCAGATTATCAACATTTCCACTTCTTTGCAAGAGCACCAATTGGGGAAGAATGGCAACTGCCTCTAGGTATATTGAGAAAGCCCAGAACACCTGGAACAACATTACATGTAGCATCAACAGTGTAAACAGGAAGCGAGCAAATATGAATTCGAGAATCTAGACTATCCCACAAAAGGAGAAGGAAACAAGCAACACAATCTCTGCCACAGGGTCTCTGCAGAAATTCTAATCAGTCATTCAGAAAATTGAATGGCAGCTTATTAGTAGAGCACCTCGCAACCAAGTGTAAGGTTCAATCTCCGCTTCCCTACGCCCCCCCCCCCCAAAAAAAAAAAAAAAAAAAGAACGCCTCTCCGCGTCCCTTACCCACCCACCCACCCAAAAAAAAAAAAAAAAAGGAAGAAGAAGAACTCGATCATTAATGATATAAGTTGATGGGTCTGACTATAACGATACCATGGCTACAGAAAAATCACAGTTATCTTTTGTCTATTAATGTACTGGGGAAATGGATGAAGCTCATATTTTAACAGTGAAGACGGTCAAACAATATCTGGAGATGACCAAAAGGGTAGGGGAACCAAGAATGAATAAATAAGATGATTGCAAATGATATAGACAAGAAGATGTCCTTACTCATGCAAATTGCAATGTAGCATAATAGGAACAACACCAAGTAGTAAAAAACCTGCAGAAGAAACCAAGCCCATACATTTGGAGAGTTGCAATGACCGCAGTAAGGATACAGAGGATAAGAATAGCGCAGTGGAAAAAAAAAAGTTTTAGGGGGTTCAGCTGACTTTAATAGGGGAAAGCAGCCTGAGTCAAATATAAAATAGACAAGATCAAACTTCAGTCGCAATTTTGTCGGCCCTCGATCTGGATAAATCAATATAACAACATTTCAATAGAAAAGGCACTTAAGAAACAACTAATATAAACGGTTATGACAGAAATTATTCTTGAAGGGGGTAGACTGATGTTAACGGGCTGATCAGTTAACAAAGGTCTATCAATTCACATGACTGGAAGCATATCATCTTAACATATTACGAGCTGCTGATTGTATATTGTCAATGTTAAGGGTTTATATCTTATCATGGGAACACCTCGGCCAGTGTAAAATCTTTCAAAGCTTGTCATGAACAGAGGCCACCAAAAAACGGATCACCTTAAGAAGGTCTGTACAAGCACTACCTCAAGGGTTGCTATAACCATGTACATCCAGAAGAGCATGTGAATAATAAGCAAACAAACATTTTACAGTGTTTGATGAGCTGATTTTGCGAGAATGTTCATGCTGTTGGTTCCACATCCGAATAAAATAGGAGAGTTGCAAAGGCAGTAAGCCAGCATAAAACTAGTCAATTTGCAATTGATTTCATAACGGAGAATATATTGTTGAAATATATCCACTTAGCATGCATTACATCAGCATACGGGTGTTTGAGATGAGATTAAATCATATAGCCAACCAAAACTACCTTAGGATAAGACATGGTTGTTGTATTCAAGTTCACTATTCATGGAATCAAAGCTACACAACATTCTAGAAATGAAATTCACTATTTCACAGTAGCCAGCCTATTGAAATTCTGAAAATATGGTTGTTGCAAGCACCAACAGGATGTTGTGCTTGCCAAGATCAGCTTCACACAAGTCACCACCAACATTACAAATTAAGTGACAAAAAACATGATTATCAATGCTAGGACAATTCCACATGAAATATTTAGAACACTTAGAAATCACTAACCTCTTGAAGGGTAAACTTCTCATGAAGAACAAGTGCCAAAACAAAACACGCCCCCAGAAGAATCCAATAGCGAAAAGTGTCTAGCTCACGGTCATATGAGCGCCTAACAACTCGATGGTACCTCATACACCAGACAATGGCCAAGGAGCTCCCAATAAAAACCAGTTTCATCACAGTGTTGTAAAGAGAGATGAAGTCTGTGAACAAATCCAGATACCGAGCCACAAACACAATAGCATATAACTCTTGCGTCTTCAATGATATTCCTGAATACAGCAAAGACTCTCAATGCCAACAATTTTCCAGCTACATGTCAGCCAGATTTCACCATAAGTATACTTCAAGCTACCGGAAAATGCAACAAGTCCAAATGTTTATTTTTGTGTTACAAGAAAAGGTCATCTTCCATTCTTTTCCGGTTCTTTTCGTATTTTTTTTGGGGGAGGAGGGGGCAATAATAGACAATGATATTTTATACCATCTAGTGATCTGTTAAATTACCTGTCACATCAATACTAATACCAATGTGCGATGACTATCCTTATTTGTAGTAGGTCCTAACATGCCATACTTCAACTGGTTGTTGATTTACCTTTATTGACAACATCCCATACAATCGAACATGTTAACACTGTCTTCTCATATTATCAAATTACTCACAGTGCCACTGATTTCACTATATGTCCTACATGAATCCAAATATCTACTTAATACGTAGCAAGAAGATAACCTAGTAAAAGTTCCTGGGCTCAAAGAAGTTTCAAAACATTATATTCACAGATTTCCTCAGTAAAATCAAAAAGAATGCTCACTCATTGCAATCTCTCAGCAGGTCTAATATCGTCCAAGTCCTATTAGTTTCAGGAGTTGTAATGTAACTACTTCCCTATAAATAATGTATCATGTCCATTGCACGAATCACTAACTAGCACATAAATGGACTAACACTCACTCTTAATTCATCAAATGAGCATTAATTTTTTCACTCAATGAACTGCTTAATGGAAACCCATTCAAACACATCATTGCATAATTCAATTCCAATGAATACAAAATCAAAAACATAACTCGCAATTTTAAGAGCCAATCAGATACGGTCATTCATGTATGAAGCAAAACTGCTCATTCAGGTTTCAACACCAATAAAGTCGACAAAGTTAATATAAAACAGTACCTTAAGGTTTCGCTGTTTCACCTTCTGATGCAAAACTATTTACATGATACAAAATATATACAATAGCTGATCAAGGAACTGAATGAAAATGCAAGTTGAAATAAGAACCTGAGCATGATTTGGTAGCATAGATTTTCAGGAGGAGAACTAAGACACTAATCAAATGTGTCATGTCTCCGGCCAGTCTGAAGATATTCATGATTACTACTGCGAAAACCGCTCTATTCCAGCCCTAGATTGTTCACGATTAGAGTCAAATCCTGAAGAAAATGATGAAGATTAGGGGTTTGCCGGGTTGGGGATTGCGGGTAGAAACGAAATGGAACTGTATTTTTGGAATTTGTTTTGGGATTAAAATTCAGAAACTTGACACTGCAAATAATTTTTGTATTTGTAATGTAAAAATTGCAAGCAGCCCGAGATACACGTGTCAGTTCCAAACGTCCACGAGGCATGTATGTGTCGAAAACGACACTATTTAGTCTAGAACTTTTATTTGTTTTAATTAACTTTGAAAATAAAAAACTTTCTTTTTATATATAGTGTGGCGGAATTGTCTGATGGACCATTGTACTTGTATTCGTTTATATTTTGGACCCTTATACTTATCTTTTTTCATCTAGACTCATGAACTCAATAAAAAAAATGATGTTAAACCTCTCTAACCATGTGGGTATCTCATTCTCCCTTGCACGGATGACATATCAAATTCATGTCACTCACATTAATACCACATTATAATCATATGTATTATCTATTTTAAAATAAAATATTAATTTATTCCAAAATAGTAAAATCATCATCTTCTCAAAGTTGTCATTGTCATCTTCCTCGTAATCATCCAAACTCCATTTCCAGCCAGCTTCAACCAGCATACAGAAACCCATTGTTCCAACCTCTATGGATCCACCAGTGACCTCAAAGTTCACTAACGAGCAATAGTGAACAACCACCAACCCACATTTCTCTTTCTTTTTTTCATTTCTAGCGAATTCTTGAGCTCCAAATCAGCGGAAACCAACCACAAAGTCACCAAGGATCCATTTGTCAATCATTTTCAATTAAAACAACCACCAAAAAATGGATATCGACTTGACTCAAAATTCTATTCATTTTTTTCGTTTTTTTCCCTACGAACAGCCGCATAATCCAATCTTTTCAGACCCACAAAACCCCAAACTCATTTGTTGTACTAAAACACCAGCGAGCTATCAAAGCTCGCACCACTATCGACACCATTCGCCGGTGAAACATCCGTCAACAATGAGCTCACAAACAGTGGTGAGTCAGCACAAAATCTGCTACCTAAGGCCGAAATCTGGCCAAATCGACACCTTTAAGTCCCACTCGATCCAGCTGTGAAATGGCAAAAATCCGCCGGAGAAAACTGTCACATCCACCATTCCTCTTGACGGTGAGACCATAAACACTTTCCCCTCACACGTCTTTGTCTCCTTGCCACCTCCGTTCGTCGTATAGAGCGTCTAAAGAAAATGATGGAAAAAAAGGTTGAGCATGGATGGTCATGCCTGAAAAAGTAGGTGGGTGGGGGTGAAGAAGAAGGTTTTTTTCATTTTTTTAAAATAATTATTTTAAAATTTAATAATTTTTAATTTTAAATATGGTGTTCAGTTGCTTTTACACGCGTGTATTCACTCTCTCTAGTCAACTCATACATCCAAATCCATATAAGCTTGATCAATGGTTAGAGGAGTTTATTAAATTGTGTTTTATTGAGTTTAGGGGTCTAGATGACAAAAGGGTAAGTAAAAGGGTTCACAATACAAACGTATACAAGTATAAGGGTTCACCAGAGCATTCCACCTATAGAGCATTTTAGATTTGAAGAAGAGTAAAAAATATTTGCAAGTTAAAAATTTGGCTCATTTATGTCATTACCGTTAAAGAAAAGGCTCATTCATGCCATTATTTTTTAACAGTAATTTTACAAAACCATTTTTGATACATGGTCAATTATAATTCGGTCATGTCATCAATTTTTTAAATAAAAAAATCAAAACAAGATTAATTCAAATTTAAGAAGATCTGATTCATTTAGATGTATTCAGACCCATTAAAAAATTACTTAAAAAATAAAACAAATAAACTTAATGAACTGAATATGAATAATTAAGATTCTGTCATAAAAAATAAACACACTGAATAAGACAAATCTAATTAATTAAGATTCAAGGCCTTAGTGGCTTTAAAATTAAACAAGAGAAAGTCAAATCAAACCAAACTAGCATATAAATATGCCTAATTTTATATATAAGTTAATTATAATTCATTTAGTTTTCTTTATCTTTAAGAATTACTCTAAACAAATTTTGTAAGTCTTACTTGCGACATACTTCTAATAATAAATATTATTGGTGATATTTTTGTTTATCTAATTGCTTGTATGATGTATCTAAGTTTTATTGTCACTTTCATTTACAAATCAAATTTTATAAAACTCTCTCTATATATATGGTATATATTTAATAATTCTTTAAAAATAATATAATGCAATTTCTCATTGCCCAAAAATTGATTTGACTTGTTCCATTTCCTTCTCACTTTTTCTATATTAGCCACCATTACAACCCAAACAGTGACCACTAAATCCGTTTCATAATCCACGTGGGACAATCTCATTGGCTAAGCTTCGTGTCTCCAAAAGAACACCATTGCCACGTTTTTATCACCAACTGCATTTTCCCATTTGGAACAAAACGAAGATATTTATTTATTTAATTAATATCCCACTTGGCGTCACGCGTTCTCCATCTCTGTTAACTGGTGACGCTTACACATAAATCCGTCAGATCCGCCCCTTCTCTCCCTCTCCTCTCTCTCATGGTCAAAACCCTACAAATAGAAGCATAGCTCGACGGAGAAATCGAGCGAATAACAGTCCACGGACATCTCCAGATCGTCGCTACCTCTGTGAGTGTCTCCGATCTCTTCTGCATGTATTTTTCTCATTTAGAGAATTGATTTTCTTTCTTTATGGAAAAAAAAATTAGATCATCTATGTACCGGAAGAAGAGATCTATAGATCGAGAAATCGGTGTGAAAATGAAATTATTTTTTGTCGAGCTGAGATCTGAATCAGTCCATAGATCTGATGAGTTTATTTAGCTCAAGATCTGTTATATGTTTGAGTTGATTATATATGTATGTCTTTGTTTATATGCATGTATGTGTAGATATATGAATTTTGTAGAGTACGAAATTCTGGAAGTTTTTTTTTTGGCTGTTAAATTCTGATTTGTAATGTGATGGTAAAAGGATCTAGATCTGAAAAGTATGCTTGTGTATCTGCGTTCTGTTTTCATGATATCTGGATAACGATATGGCTTGATAGACAGTGTGAGTAAATTGATTTATTATTTATGTGACATGTGATGGTCACTAATCGACCATGAAATACAAAAATATTTGAAGTGGTACATGAACAACAGAGTTGAGATGTTTTTGTATCTGTATGGACAGTTTGGTCTTGTTGCAAGCATTGAAGAAGTACTATTTACTTGGAATGCATGAATGGTTCTTAGATTTGAATCTCCAAATTTTGTTTTCATAATGACATAAGAAAATTTTAAACTTGATATAAGTATGGATCTTTACAATAAAAGAAGTCTTCTCTGATTAAATTATGTCGAACCTGTATTAGTATATGTAATCCCCCAAGAGAATTGTTGCAAGGATATAATATTAATTGTATATTTTAGTGGATTTGTCCTATTATTAGCAGGATTCATTGATAGATATATGTGATATCCATGTTTTAGTCCTTGGAATTGGTGGTTGGGGGTGGAGAAGAAGAAATAATCTCATTTTGTCTTCTTATAAAGAAAGAAACTTCCTCAATTTGATTATCCTTATCAGCTCAATTTATATGCTTAGGTATATTCCTGTTTTTGTGTTCCAAGCATATCCTATGTGCTCTCCATTAATATATATGCTTCACTGAATCTGAATTTGTGATAACACCTTCCATTGATTGAAAATTTGCTTTAAATTGTATCTTGAGAATGTTAATACTGATATTATATCATCTGAAATTAATCTTTCTGGCTAGCTATGCACATTAAAATTACACAAGATCATGAGCGTAGTTGAGGCACTATATCTTCCCGGTTATTTGTCTGAATAGTTTTTGTCTTTGTTTTTTTTATGGTTTGAACAGAGATAGTTCTGTTAATAGTGAACAATGGGAGGAGGATTCAGAGTGCTGCACCTTGTGAAACCATTTCTTTCTTTTCTACCTGAAGTTCAGAGTGCTGACAGGAAGGTTCAATTCAAAGAGAAGGTCATCTATACTGTAATTGCGCTTGCTATTTTTCTGGTTTGCAGTCAGCTCCCTCTTTATGGCATACACTCTACAACTGGCGCGGATCCTTTTTACTGGATGCGTGTCATTCTTGCCTCAAACCGTGGTACAGTCATGGAACTTGGAATTACTCCAATTGTGACTTCTGGAATGGTGATGCAATTGTTAGCTGGATCAAAAATCATTCAAGTGGACAACAATGTTCGGGAGGACCGAGCACTCCTGTAAGTTTGTTTTTAAGATTTTTATTTCTTTAGTTGTTTAACAACATATGTATATTGCATCAGTTCTATTTTGTTAGTTGTCTATTGTTTAAATTCCATATGCAGTGGTAATAGTATGGTTTGGAACCTTCAGAAAAGGATATTGTTTGGAACTTATGGGGATGATATGATCTATAACTTTAATGCTGAAATCATTTTGCAGAACCTAGATTAGTTGTATAATTTGGATTTTCAAGGCAAATTTCATTTTTCAGATTTTCTCACCCTTGAACTTTTACTGAACATTCATGCCGTCATTTGATCCTGGTATGTAGACCTAGATTACTCTGTGCACCCCCTGCCCTGCCCACACACCCACATCCCCAAAGATTTAGATGCATCTTTTTGTACTTGTTACTCAGTTACCTAAAAAAATTCTTTCATGCTGTTAAGTAGATTTTTTGATGTTTCTTTATCTTTTCTGGTCAATGAAGCTCTCTCCTGTGCTCTCTAACAATTTATCCCATGCAGTAATGGTGCTCAAAAGCTATTGGGTATCCTGATTGCTGTCGGTGAGGCAGTTGCTTATGTCCTGTCGGGGATGTATGGCAGTGTTAGCCAATTGGGTGTTGGAAATGCTATCCTCATTATCCTCCAACTCTGCTTTGCTGCTATCATTGTCATGTGCTTAGATGAACTTCTTCAGAAAGGATATGGTCTTGGCTCTGGAATTTCCTTGTTCATAGCTACCAATATCTGGTATGTTTTTACTGTCTATCGGAAAAACCTATTTTGAGTTTGTCAGTACATTCATAGAGCTTATAATTCCAAGTTAATTATATTTTCAGTGAAAGCATTATCTGGAAAGCATTTAGTCCCACAACCATCAATACCGGGCGTGGTGCTGAATTTGAAGGAGCTATAATTGCTCTGTTCCATCTTACTATTACTAGATCTAATAGGATTAGTGCCTTGCGTGAGGCTTTCTACCGGCAAAGTCTCCCCAATGTGACAAATCTGCTTGCAACTGTGTTGATCTTCCTCATCGTTATCTACTTCCAAGGATTCCGTGTAGTTTTACCTGTTAGATCTAAGAATGCTCGTGGACAGCAAGGTTCTTACCCAATTAAACTCTTCTACACCTCAAACATGCCTATTATTTTGCAGTCCGCACTTGTCTCAAACCTGTATTTCATCTCTCAGGTACCTAATTGCTAAGTTTTTTTTCGGTTGATTGCCAACTTGCTGTCACCTGTTCCAAGAGTGTAACAATTTCTATTTCTTTTTGCCCTTTTGCTGTCCTCTATTATCAGTTGCTCTACAGGAGATATGGAGGAAATTTCATCGTGGATATGATAGGAACTTGGAAAGAATCTGAATATTCTGGACAATCTGTTCCTGTTGCTGGTCTTGCTTACCTTGTCACTGCGCCATCAAGGTATTGTTCCCCTTTTCTTCAGCTAATCAATCTCTATTTTGTGTAGAAGTTCTTCACAAGTCTGTTCAGCCTCATATCTTGTGCTTCTTACTTCTGTAAATGCCATTGACGGTCAACTCTTTAATGTATTTCAGCTTGGCAGAAATGGTGTCGCATCCGTTCCATGCTCTTTTCTATATAGTGTTCATGTTATCAGCCTGTGCCCTGTTCTCAAAGACCTGGATTGAAGTTTCTGGATCGTCTGCCAGAGATGTTGCCAAACAGCTCAAGGTAAATGATCTTGTTGCCTTTGTTTTGTGAACTTTTCCCCGTTCTATTTGTTTGTCCCAAAGTGATTTGTCAGTAAAATTAACTGAAACTTAACTTCGTTACTTTTAGTGGTTGTGCTGCTGTGTTATGGATGGCAATCAGAATGAGAACTTCTTCAGTGGGGTTCTAACTATCCCCCATGCTGTAGATTATGAGAAGAAATAATTGCTATAGATTATTATTGAATGACTTATCAAGATCTCGTTATTTCTAGTCAAAACAGGTTAAAAGAGACAACATCATTCTTCTTCCCATTACCCATAATATACTATTGCCGTTTTGTAACATCTGACAGTAGTATCCCACATCTCTGAATTTTGAATCACAGTAAAACATTGGTTTGGCCTCTGAAAGGAATACGTTGGTTCTTGGAGCTTGATTGCCTCACATAGCCCACAAGTTATGAGACAGTATCATGGTGGATTGCTCATAACATACTATTGAAGTTCTTTAATATCTGACAGTAATATCCCACATTTCTGAATTCTGAATCACGGTAGACCATTGGTTACTTTTGCTATGTAACGAATATGTATGTTCTTGGAGCTTGTTTGCCTCACACAACCCATAGTTAATGAGACAGTATCATGATGGTTTTGGTACAATTTAGGGTTTGCGTAATCCAGAATCACTTGTTTTTTTGTCATTAAAAGTTATCTTCTCGATATTCTATAGAATGATATGGCTCCCAAGAGTATTATCGGTATGACACTTTTAACAATGATTGATTTGCAGGAGCAACAAATGGTGATGCCTGGTCATCGTGATTCCAACCTGCAGAAGGAACTAAATCGTTACATACCTACTGCAGCTGCCTTTGGAGGAGTTTGCATTGGTGCATTGACAGTTTTGGCAGACTTGATGGGAGCGATTGGATCAGGAACTGGAATCCTTCTTGCAGTCACAATCATTTACCAGTATTTTGAGACATTCGAGAAGGAGAAGGCCACTGAACTAGGCATGTTTGGTTTGTAGGCTGTAGCGTTTATGCTAGAATGTCCCTCCAAGCCAAGAGAGCAATGTAGTGAACTTGTTGGCTTATAATGGATAGATATTAGAGGCCACAAGTTTTTCCTGTTAAATTTTGTAAGTTTTTTTTTTTGTTTTTAACTGTGCTGATGAGCGCCCGAATGTTTTACATGAAAAGACTAGGTTAATTTACAGAAATTCTCAAAGGATATTTTACATGATACAAGCATCGAGCACAAACAAGCTTCAGGAACTTTGTGGTTTGCCTTTCGGTTTGATACAGTTGCGCCTGCTGCTTCTGGTAAAGTTCAACATGTTCCTTTGCTACTGATTTATTCAGGCAAAAATCTATGAGTGTCTTCAACAATGAACGTTAAGCAATAACCGTGCTCTTCTTCTTTAACTAAATTAAACAAATCTCAACTGTGATTAAACTAAGAATAAGAAAAAGATTAATGAAGATTACAATGTGAATTTAGTCAAACAGCATATGCCTACTGTTCTTACCAAAGTTAACTTCCATGGATATTCATACCAAAGTTAACTTACCATGGATAATTTGTTGCAGCTATTGTTCAAAGTATTTTAATCGTTATTCCTTCTTCGAGTTGCCTTGAACTGTTTTCCTTGAGTTGAGAGACTAAAAAACATTCTATATCTGGAAGGCAGGGGATAAAGTCTACATATACTCTACCCTCTCTAAATATGTATATTGCAACCGATAGCTAGGGCACTACAGTGCTATTAGTAGTCTGGATTCCTCCAGTGAACCTATTGGAGATACTTGCATTCTCAATATGTATCCTTAGCCTTGCAACATATTCTTTAAAATCCTCTATAATTGAAGGTCCGAAGTTTCACAAGCAGTGCTATAAATTAATTTCATGGTCACTGGTGTACGTACCAATGGTTGGATCCACGATTCATGGATATGTAAAATAAATGGGAACACAACAGGGACTCGTCATCCCATTTGTAATATTCTCTCCGAGATGCAATCATGCAAATAGCAAACTCCAGACGCGATACAAATGGTAATACAGAAAAATTAATTAAATCAATTCGCGAACCACCTTAGTCCAAAAAAATATCACAAATTTCTAGATGCATACTCCTGGTGCCTGTTAATATACGATGAAACAAAATGTATGTTAATCTTGTATTTTGGTACTTTAGTGATTGATTAGTCGCTTTAACTTTGCGGCTTACGAATAGATTTGTCTTTATTTGCTTTGAGCTATATGCTACTTAGTAATACTAGAATGTCTTTTATCTCTCTCTTTTGTTCCATAACAGTAATACTCTATATTCAATATTCAATTAAAGACTTATTCCTTTCATCCATTTTTATTTTCTGCTTTTGTTTATTCCTTTCATTTTTAAGGAGCAAAAGAGCATTGTAAAGATATAATTAACGAACTACATTTTTTAGATGAATTATCAAAATCCCACTTACTATAACTTTGACACGAGAATAGAAATACGAAATTGGAAAATCATGTCTCATGGCTCCTTTCTTTTTGAAACCCAAAAGCAAACCAATGTACAAGAATTTCAAATGATTCTTGTCCTTTTCTTGACACGCTCCCCAGCGTTTTAAGATCGATTAATTTAAATTAACATAAAAAAAATACTTTACCATTTTAGAATAAATCAGTATGTACCAAAGACGATTCAATTCCTAGGTTTAACCATAAAAAAATAATTAAATAAACGTTCATCAGATACTAAAATGAAAATTAAGAAATTTCATAAGAGAAGAAAAGTTTACGTAAAGTTCAACAGTAGTATCTCTTGGTTTAAATTTAAAAGTTCAAATATTAATTTATGTCCAGTTGGTCCCAACTAATTCAAATTACACTCAACATGTAACATCAGTGCAAGTAGCTGGTGGTATAATAAATTATATATCTTTTTCAGAGAATTTAAGGCAGTTAAAGCAAAAAAGATAAGAGGAGCTAGCTAGTACTCTTATCAGATACCTTTAATAATAACACTGATCAGATATTCTGTATCTTTGATTTGACATTTATATTATGCTTTGCCCAAAGGCTGAAATCAATGTACATGTAAAGCTGAGATACCACAAAAATTGTTTACATATCTAGTCTTTTTAGCTCTCAATGGAATTATTTTGAACCCTTTTTTATAGGGTGCATGTTTTGTCCCTTTTATATAGCCAATGGCCACTCTCAAATAAGGTTTGAAAAAAGTTAGTAAACTAGTACTAGTAATATATTCTCATTTTTATTAGGAGGTGAATAGAGCTGTTCCATATTTGTGTTCAATGGAGAAATTACGACTTCCATCTAAAAATTTAATATATAAGAAAATAAACATAATCTTATGTATCGAGGGTCTATCGAAAAATACTTTCTCTAAGTTCTGCATATATCTTGTCCTGGATCTCCAAGCCTCGCTTATGACATTACATTAAATAGATCATTGTTGTATAGGAAAAAGTTAGTAATTAGGAGATTGATTAACATCTACATACTATATATGTTAGACATACAAAATAGTTTTGACTTTGCATATATCATGTAATTTTTGACCTTACATATATCATATAATTTTCAATGAACGATACATGAATGAAACATCTAATTGTGACCCCCGTCTCCATCCCTTGCTTGTGTTGGTGGAAATAGCTAGTAGATCCACGGTAAAATTAGTCGAGGTGAGCAAATTAACTCAAAAACCAGGTTATAAAAACAAAATTATATACATGAACAAACTCTCACTTTGCCTCTTTGGATTCTTATCCTATCCCAACCCTAGTTCTTGCCCTAAAAGTAAATAAAGATAAACAGCCTTATGGAGATTGACATGTACTAGCATTGCTGTAATATTTCAATGAACTTTTTATAGTAGCATGCACTTTCCTTTATTTTCTATAAAATCACTTTGAAGACTTGAAGTACATATGCAAAATCTTCATTCACTTTTTGTTTGTTCACAAATTTTCTTTTATCAATCACATTGAGAGAATTGTTAAAGTTGAAAGGGAAAAGGGGGACAATATGAAACCGGAATGGTAGTAAAGTCAGAAACTTCATTGTATACATAAATATTACTTTCTTCATTTTACAAAAAATAATCTAGTTTGATTTGACACAGGAGTTTAAGAAAATAAAAAAGACTTTTGATCATGTAGTCCTAAATTAAAGTTATGTTAAATGTACAAAATTATCCTTTAATCTTGTAGCCTTAAACATGTCGCGTGGAAAATTATTATAAAAAAAAAAGTCACTTTTTTTTTAAACATACTAAAAGAAAAAAATGATTCTTTTTTTAAACGAAGAGACTATTTCAAATTGCCACCTTCATAGCATTGACTTTTAGTACACGAGAAAAATAATTATTTCTAGCTTGAGCCTGAATATTTTTAAAAATCCCTTAAGAGGCATCTTTCTTGATTTATATCAAGACAACTCATGATGATAAATGAAAGCTAAATATATATGGTGGAGGTATTTAATTTGTATCACAAGAAGCTTAATTAAATTAGATAAGTTTTTTTTATAATATTATGGTCCAAACTTTATGTTGTTTAAATATTATTTCATGGGTACAAAAGTAAATTGAACTAATAATGATGTTTAGTAGAAGCTCTTACTTCAAAGCAACATGCGAAAAAAGGCTATTTTTTTATTTTTTTTATTAAGGTTGTAGTTGGAGTGCTCAAAACAAGTATCATAATAAACTCAAAGCCATGTCTTTTTTCAATCAAAAGATATATATAGATAGACATTATATTTTTATACTATAAACAAACACCAACAAAGGCATAATCATTAATTTTTCACTATACAATGTTTATGTTGTCCACTCCATTTTAATTTTTTTTTTATTTTTTTTTTGTAATATGGTTGAGGTAGTCTTATTTATTTTATCATCTTATTGTGGTCCCTTACTAAACATGGGAAACAAAAGAAGTAATAGTTAAAGTTGCTTTTAAATTTGTTGTTTTCAACATTTAAGTTTACACATTTATTAAGGTTAGGCATATGTAGGTGTAGCTCTATATATAAATAGATTCAAAGACTAGGACAAAATTACCAAATTTTTTTCGAAATCTTAAAGTAGTATCTTTCTTCTATAAAAAAAACAAAACTAACAATAATAGAATCAACGTAATTTTACGTATAGAGTTTGAAAATATTAGAATGTTAGGTAAATTTTATTTACACATGCGCATGGATAGAAAGACTAGACTACATATGTTTAACAAACTTTTGAAATAAAAATAGATTTTCAGCGTTTAAATCCCTTTTTATGTTATGAATTTCATCGAGGAGAAATGATTCACGAACAAGAAAAAGAGGGTTACAATTTCTATATCATGTAGTATTATCAATGAACATTTGATATAGGAAGATATATATATTTTTATGCACATGAAATAATGAAATTCAGGCATATGACAAAAAAAAAAGTTATATTACTCTTTATTTTTTCCTAAAGAATTTAACTATGTATGAGAAAATTGCACCATATTATTTTGTGCAAGATTCGAAACAATTGAAGGAATGAAAAGGCAATTAAGAACTGTTTTTTTTTTGCTCATATTTATAAATAGTGACATAAACTGAAAGCTTTCTTTCCAAGATTTTTGATGTAATAATTAATGATCCATTTAGTAATAATTAGGATACAGTAATACAAGTATTTTTTTAAAATAAATAAATAAGTGTGTTTATGAAATTCATAATGCAATTGTGAAGTGCTACAACTGTAGGAAATAATTAGGTTCCTCATGTATTCTGAAGCTATAGTGATTTAGCTATTCCTAAAAGGAAGTGTCTCTAGAATATAATGAATTTGTTTATGCTTAAAGTGCTATGTTCATCAATTAGGTTCGTAATTATTACTAATTAATTACGTATAAACTTCTAATTGACGCTATGTAGAATGCATATATATAATTATACACCTACCTGTACGTACTAATTGTAATGTCAAAAACTGAACGAAATAATGATTTTCTTTGAAAATATATACTCCTTCGATTTTAAAAAGAGTGACCTAGTTTGACTTGAAACGTATTTAAGAAAAGATAGAAGACTTTTTGATCTAGTGATTTTAAATTAAATTTATGTCAAATGTATCAAGAAGCCTTTTAATATTGTGGTTTTAAACATATCACATGAAAAATTAAAGTTAAAATTTTGCCAAAAAAAGAAAGAGGTCATTCTTCTTTAAACAGATTAACAAGAAAATGAGATCATTCTTTGAAACGAAGAGAGTTTT